CTTGTACCACACTATCACTATCCTTCACTTACCCTCCCCTTCAAAAAGCGAGAAAGTGTCGGGTGCAGACCATGCACCACAAGTGACGACGGCCTTCACAAAATGTTAATGTTTTCTGCCAATGAAATGATTAGCCTGTTGCAGTTGTATTCTATCGATTGTCACTAATTACAACTATCATTTACCAGAAATCAGCTATCACTATGAACAACTTCTAACCAGATTTACTTGGAGGCCGTCGTCAGTTGTGGTGTTTGGTCTGCACCCGACACTTTCTCGCTTTTTGAAGGGAGGGTTAAATGGATTGCTTTTTCATAGTAAATTCTGGCTTTGAACTTGCTACCTACAGCTCGCTTCGCACCTAATCACTACTAAGTGAGCGTTTCTTCAAAACGGGAAGGTCGCCCACACAAGTGTTCACCTTGGGTGGTGCGAGTCACATACATACCGTGCCCTTCGACTGTGTCTTCGAAAGGAGAAGGGAACTTCAGTGCGTAGTTGTCGTATATTAGGTCTTCATGCTTAGGCAGGTGTTAGACTTTGCGATCAGTCGCTAGCGAGTCGCGCGGTTGGCTTAAAAGCGATTCAAGTTGTGGGATCGACACCGTCTCACTGGTTGATTTTACGATTCACAAATTTGCCACAGGTTCTACAGAGGAAAAGAATTATCACCTGGGCATTAGCAGTCCAGCAAGAAAAAGACGCTGCTCCAAATCCTTTATGGAACGTTGAACTTCCGGCCGCGCGATCAGTAACTGAATAATAACCATTTATTTCATCAGTAAATTTTTACGACCATCACACTGCAGATAGTCGTCGTTTTTGCACAAATCACTGGTACGGTGTGGTGCCATGAAAGGATTGACATAACTAACTGGATTTATCTGTTTGTTTGTCCGACTTGTGTGTTCTAAAAATCGGCATCACCTGAAGATCGAGCCGAACGAGCTGGGTGAGGATCGAGAAAGGTGCGGCATGGGCCAACATGTACAAAACACGCATCAGCAAGCTGGGCTCCGCCACTGTGGGCGGTTGAAAAAAATGGGTAAAGATGTAGATACGGTTGCAAGGTTAGATTCGCAAAACGCTGCAAAACTGCAGGCATCTAGTAGGTGTCGAAGCCGTCAGAATCTTCCTCGAGAGCAGGGAATCATCTTGACGTTTTAGAATAGCGTCGCAGATATACCTCGACGACCTTATGCGGCAGGCCCTGAGGGTCGTCGGGATGTCCACGACGACTTTCGGGGCTTGCTACATACGAGTTTTTAGGTGAACGGATTTCTGTCAAAGTGGACAGTGCGTGTCTTACTGAATGAGGGGGTTTTCAGAAATCCTCCTCACCCGGTTTTGAGAGGGCAGGAGATCGGGACCGCAAAAAAAAGTGGATCTATGAAGGCGGGAGAGGCTACTCGACCGTTCCAAAGACGAAGGCATGGCGCTTCCAGAGTGTTGATCAATGTTGACGAAATTTTCGTGCTGCTACCTTTCGGAATTCGAGCTCATGAACAACGTTTTGCCTTTTAGAAAAAAAAAACATTTTCAGGAGTTGTATTGGTGCAAATCCACGTAGTTCATGAGCTTACTATGAGGAAACTACATTCGGAACCTTATCTTATACTGTCTGGTTTGTCAAATGAAAGCACTAAACTGTGGTGGAACATCTTGGGTCCCAGTGAATATCAGCATACTATTTATGAGGTGAAAAATATTCTTCGAAACAGAAGACCTGAAGGTTTGCGTGCA